GTACGGAGGGTGCCACGGGCGCAGTTCAGCGGTAACTTGATGCTGCTTGCCCGAATGTATGATATCAGCGTGCGGCAGCAAAGCATGGCGCAGGTAGGAGTGGCCCTGCGCATGCGACCACGGCTGGGTGGAGCAGCGGCACTAGTACCACGGGATGTGGTACGTACCATGGCAGACATCTTGGCACTACCGTACCGTCATGCGCAGCGACGGCACCAGCTGTCGCAACAGTCACCCGTGGTGCGTGCCCTCCTGGATGGCGCACGCGCCAGCCTGCTACGAATCGACCTTACGGATGCCTACTACAACGGTGCAAAAGCCACGATGCGTGCGGCTGCCCTCACTATTGGCTGGCCGCCATTGTTCTTCAATCTGAACCCGGCGGACATGCACGCTAGCTGTGCCGTTGTAGCCTCCGGTCAGGTCATAGATTTTGATGACGCCGGGCGTCCGACCCATATCAGCAGCACGGTGGAAAAGTGGCGCCGCGTCAAAGAAGACCCGCACAGCTGTGCGGCGCTGCTCATCGCCACCAAAGAGGTGTTGGTGGAACACCTGTTTGGCTTCACGCCTGGAGCAATGCGACAAACTGACCCCAACTGTTTCTGTGGGGTCGTATTTGAGGTAGTCGTCAAAATCGAGCAGAGCGGACGATTGGCACTACACCTGCACGGAGTCGCACACCTCCAGTACTTCGCGCTGGACAACCTCCAAGCGTTATTCTGCGGTCCGAATTGCCGAGCTCTGGCGCTTGCATACGCGTTGTGCGAAATGTGGTACCCCTCGCCGTACTATGCTCCGACACCGACCAATGAAATGCAGCCTCTCGTCATGGGTATGTCTAATACGGAAGCGCAGCAACACGGCTTGTCCGTGCCAGAAGTACAGGCAAATTGCCCACCTGCCGCGTACGACTTTGAATGCCTGGCAGGGTGTGCAAACGGCGGACTACCACCTCCATCCCGGCACTGCGCCTGCCGTGCCCATCATGCTGCCGCCATACGCAGCACCCTCACCCACACCCACAGTTCAACATGCAAGCGGCACGGCTGCCGTGGCACCGACGACAGCTGCGGCATGGCCTTTCCCCGATTTATCCGCACAGCTTTCCAGTGGGTCGGTACCACCGGTCTATTTTTGCTGCCCCGCCTCGCATCCAACCTGGTGCCGCACATGCCTGCGATTGCTCTGGCCTTCGGATGCAACCATCTGATGTCCCTGGCCTGCGAAGTCGACCGGGATTACACGGCTGACATCGCCGCCCAACTAGCGCGTCCCATCAACGAACGCGGCGACTGCCCCCTCCTACAACCCACCATTGATCGCGCCCGTGACGCTGCGTACTACAGCTCCAAGTACACTGCGAAGACAATCGAACGCAGCCAGGCGCACCTCACATGTACCGCCGTAGGGCGTGTACAGGACTTCATGATGGCAGGTCACCAACCCAGTGCCACTGGTCATGAACCCAGCGTGTTCGGCAACCTGTGTACCGCGGTGCATCGCATGACGGCTACCATCACGGCCGGCATGGCACTGGTTGCTTTCAAACTATCGGGCCACGACACGTTCCAAGCAACCTACAAACGCAACTACCTGGCGACAGGCGCCTTCACTGCACTGGCATCCGATTCCGCTGTGGAACCAGAAGACGCGGAAACCGGCGTGGAGCTTGTAGAGGCGGACGAACATGGCGACTACACCCTCGCCAACGTTGTGCAAAACTACACGCAACGTGGTGTGGAGCTGAGCGGCTTGGACTGCAGCGCTTACACCATCGCATCCAACTTCGAGGTGAAACGTGTAACACCCGCGCAACACCCTCATGCTGCCGTCCTTGGCGCTCAAACCCACGCCGTACCTGGCCGCCGCAAACGCAAGGTCCCTGGCGCCGCCATTACCCCTATGACTGACGCACCTCGCGCTCCATCTGGCAACCAGCCCGACACTCCATTGACGTCCCCTGCACCAGCCGGCCCATCCGTGGAACAGCTGCCCACTAACCCAACGTCAACCATACCTCCCAAGAATGTGGCCTTCCAACCAACGCACCCCCTATATCTGACGCACGTACTTCATCGCCTAGCGCAACCAAGGTACGTTGTGTTGGGTGGCAAACTGCCCCGTCGCCCGCAAGCAGAAAGCACCACCGCAGCCGCCACCGCCTACTATGCGTTCGTTTTAGGAGTCTTTAAGGCCCACCGTGGCCAACCAGTGGCTGCCGATCAGACAGTGAAAGAGGCGTACGACGCATGGTGGATGGACCTGGGAACCACTGAGACTGGCCGATCATACAGAGCCTGTATCAGCGTCCTACTAGACAACATCGAAGCAGAACACATCGCCGGCGCCCGACGTCAAGCCGATTACAACTTGCGACGTCGCCTACGCCGTACTGCCGCTGCAAACGCCGGTCTGGCTCCCGAAAACAGTTCCAGCGACCCAGACGATGAAGACCCAGAAGCTGCACGACGCCATCTCGAACCCGATCCTACCACACAGCCGCCGCAAGACGCCCAGGTCGAACGGTATGACTTTGTGCCAGGCCAAGGCGACCCGACGATGGGGATCAACCTACCCGACATCGCCCTAACGGACCTATACGACCGCACCACGGTGGAAGGCCTCTACGCCTACGGTGCAGCTCGCCGTTGCCGTGTACTTCCTCTCCCTGATGCACTCGGCGCGAACACCAACCCCTTCATTCGCCGTGTACGGGCCACTGACGTCGCGCTGCTAAGTGAAGCTTCTAAGCGCCTGAAGCGCTATCTAGTCGTCTCTGAAGGCACCACAACCACGCCGACCACCACTGAACGGACACCCCGTCTGCAATTGGATCGCCGCCCCGGCTACCCACTCATAGCGGT